TACTCACTGCCGTGAACGGGGTGTCCCGTTCACGCATGAGGATCTGATAGAACCTATATATCAGATCCATGGACGAAAAGATGGTACTCTTTGACATACCATCTATGATTACGTCCTTCCTCGGTATCGGCGTCTGAGCCGGTACCGTTGCAGCATTCAACTTGTTGAATGCGTGCACTATCCGCCACCCTCCTGTGGCCTTTCGCACACAGAAGGTCGGAGAGCTGTGAGGGGATGTTGATTCCCTCACATGACCCGCTGCTAAGCGATCGGCAAAGAACTTGTCGATCGCTTGTACTTGTTCACGAGGCAGTGGCCACTGCTTCATGATACAGTACTTCGAGCCCGGTCTGAGCTCAATATCGTGTCGAGTGCCTTTGTCCTTAGGCAACTCTCACGGTACGGATTCAGGGAACACATCTCTGAATTCGATCAAATCCTTATACAAAGGATTTGCCTGAAGTGACTACCAAGATTGGGACGCGTATCGCTCAATCCGAGTCTTCTCATCGAGGACACTTTCGTCCATCGATGAGCTGCTAAGAACCCGTTCGTTCTCAGCAAATACTTTTGCCGACCGAATATCGGCCACATACTCATCCTCTGTGACGAGTATGCAGATCTGCTTGACTTTGCCACTACGCAGATCACGCAAGAACCGTTTCGGTTCTAGCGTTGGCAACTGAGTTATCTCCGAAGTTGACTTCGGAGGCACAATCAGATCAAGCGTATAAGCGCCTACGATTGATCCGTCATTACCAAGACGTTCAACGTCTCGATTACTTCCTGGGAACTTCTTTCCACAGGTTGCTGAGGTCCTGATCCCTCAGCAAGTGACTCTTCAGGATTTCCTTCCTCAAGTACGTGGGGACTTATTCCCTCGACGTCTTCTGACTGTGGCTGTGCAACCACAGTTAGGAACCGATCCTCTACGGTCGACTCTCCAGTCGACCTAGGATTTCCATGTTGCCCTTTGGGGGCAACAGGTTTCTTCTGTCTAAGATGCTGCCCGATAGGCATGCATCCATGTCCCGGTCCACTCGACTTATTCGAGTGGTGGACCTTCGGCGCTGCCTGTACTTTTTTACAGCCGCCGGAAGCTTGCTCCACAGTGTAGTGATCAACTACACTGTGATCTTGTGCAGTCGTGCTAACGACCGTACCGCAAGTGAGACCATCGCGCTCACTCGCAGAACATCCACACGCTTGTGGACGCTCCAAGACGTTCATCAGATAGCTATATGATGAAAAAGTGGCAGATGTCTTCACGGATCGATGCTGCCAGCTGACCCTTGGCTCGTATTTTCTGAGCCAAGGTAATCCCAGGATGACATCAAATTTGTCATCCAGATCCAGTACGATGAATTCATCATCGTACTGTTCGCCCTCCAACGTGTAGTGGATTCCGACTACACGTTTCTCAACGGTAATCGATGCGCCTGTTGCAAGGCGCACCGTCATCCTTGTGAGGGGAATGTCGCGCTCAACGAACTTGAGCCTACGACCCTCTAGTGACTGGCGACGAACAAAGTTGTTCGACGCCCCACAGTCTACTAGGGCACGAAGCGACAAGTCATTTGTCGCTTCCAACTTCAAGGTGATGAGCGAAACGTCATCACCAGGTGCAGAGACACACAATGATTGTGTATCTGGAGCAACTTTCGTCAAGAGATTTGCAAATTCTCTTGAGGTTGCTGGATCAGTAGGGCGCTCCGCCCCTACTGACCCCGACCATTTTTTGATAGTCCGTCTCGCTGTTGCGGCTTCGCAACAGCGCTGGACCCACGCCCATTGCCCTTTCTGGCGAATGGACGTCCATTTCGCTCAGTACTGTTTGGTACTGGGCGTGGAGCACTACACTCGTATGCGTAGTGCCTTAACTTCTGACAGCGATTGCACCTCTGCAATCGCTTGTTGTTTGAAGAGCGAGGTCTCTCGTTCTCAACATAGCAGAGGTCCATTGGTTCTGGACCTCCGATCTCTTGTCGTCTCGGTGGACGGTAAGAGTTTGAGCTAGCATGAGCCTGTCTCATGCTGAAGTCTTCCTGTTCTGCGGCTGATATCGCTTCTTCAAGCGTATTCAGCTCAAGGCGGAACAGGTGGCTCCTGACGGGCCCTTCCGCGAGCCCTTGCATGAACACCGTAATCAACGTGTGTTCATGAACTGGGTTGGCAGTTATACTACTCGCTAGGAGTCGTATATGTTGTGCGTAAGCGTGCACATCATGCTTACCCTGCTTGAGTTTCAGGGGCTCAGAACGAGCCCTGAACTCAGCTCGTGGCGGCTCAAACGTTTGTCTGAGCCGGGACTTGAAGTCATCTAGCGACCTAAACACATGTGGGTCGCTACTCTCGAGTCCCAGGGACCAAGTTTTGGCACGCCCTGCCAAGTGGGTCTGAGCAAATGTGCGTTTCATTTGCTCATCTTCGACGCGACGAGCCCTTAAGGCTCTGTCGAGTTCGACAAACCACAGTAACAGGGAGTCCTCCGGGACTCCACTGTACTTGGAGATGTCAACCTTCATGACCTCGGGACGACGCGCATGCGCCGTCCCGCCCACAGCAGCATGGAATTGCTGCTGTCTCAACAGCTCTGTCTGTTGAGCATCGAGTCCTCTCAACTGCTAGGCCTGTTGAGAGCCTTGCTGGTGAAGCAAGGCTACTTTCTCCCTTTCGGCGACAAGTTCATTTTGGATGAACTTGGCTATAGCGGCATGTTGTTGGTCTCTGTCTAGAGACTCCAACATGGCGCTAATGGCGAACTCGCCTACGGTAGAACTCATTCGTTCTACCGCACCCCATTCGATGTCACTTAAATGGGTAAACCCTTCACGCGTGGCGTGAAAGGTCTCTTCATCATCCAAAATGAACATGTTGGATGCTGTGGTCCTTGGAAGGACTACAAAGTGCTACCAGGTGTAACGGGGCACACCCTTGCGTGAACTTAACGCAAGGGCTTGGGTGCCCCGACAGACGTACGCGAGGCAAACGAGGAAGCGTAGATAAGGGAAAAGTAAAACTGTTGTATTAATATAATTAAGTCTTTTGTTACTGTCTCTCTGTTTAACCTGACTTAATTATGCTAATATAACTGAGTGTATGGTGACGTCTCGTCACCACTCATTGCGCGCGTCCTGCGGCGATTGGTGGGTTGATATCGTCAAGATGTCAACCAATGAGCAGACTCTTTGGTCGACCCTTCAATATCACCGCTTCGGTGATATTGTTTAAAGAATATTCAACTTCATATTCTTTACTGACACTTTTCTTAAAGTGACAATTCCATGTAACGGGCTGCCCCGTTACATAATTGCTTGATGATCGTTCGTCTATAGAGCGAGCGGGGATCATAGAAGAGCAGCGATGTGGCGCATACCGCCCTGCAAGCTGCGAGTACTGAGGGACACGGCCGGTGGTAAGTGACGTTATAGCTGGTGTAGCGGCACACCCGCCCAGAACATGTTATGTACGAAGTGTCGCGTAGAAGATAGACTTGGAAGGCTCGGTATGGAGTCGGTCGATCGGGTTCGACCAAATCATTTGTGAGTGTGCTCAATACGTATATGAGCGGTCTGGTGACAACGGCAATGTGTCTATGCACTAGCTCAGACTTTGCGCAAGCGTGAATACGCATGATCCTCTAATGTATAGTACCGGGCTTCCAGTACATGAAGAGATTGTATTGTAGTCGAGGGCCTCTATAACTCTGCAGGGTCATCATATGTATAGGGTTTATATGGTTATAAATTCGGTGGTACTTGATGCATACAGTGATGCTACTTTTGCAACGCCCTCACATTCTACGACAATCTAATCACCCTTCACCAGCATGTTTGAAGCTTCTACTCCTGCCTCAGCATTGACGGTCGCTGGCTCTCCGTCCGGACCATTCAACATCGAGCTGTCTTTGTCGACGTCATTACCACACTGGAATGTTGTACCCCCCCACAGGGTTGTGTTCTTGTCCGCAGCAATTTGATAATAATACTACAAGATGCGTGCTTAGTCGACGTTGTCTCGGTAACGACTTTAATTACAGGCGAGAGGGCCTACCTCGTACATGAACGAGGGGTCACCTTACGCTGAGTCGATCACCTTATTCTTGAGGCGATCAACATTGTAAGAGCAGGGTAATGGGTAGATAAACGAGTTGCATCGTAGACACATGCGCAAGCCGTTTATCCACCGATGCTGTCCTTTCGTTACCTGGAAGTTACTAGCCACTAAATCAAATATGTAGATCTGTACCCTTGGTATATACATACCTGTGTGGAATCATCTTAACTATATGGAAGACAGATGCGATGAGACCTTTCCAAACTTAGTAACATTGCCCAAGGGCGCACAAACGCGCGGAAGTCGATTGTGAGGGAAAGGGTGGTGCTTCAAGTCCGTCCCGAGCAAAGGAGAGTACTCAAAATGTTCTCACATCAAAGATGCGACGAAAATGGAGAAAGTAACATCTCTCCGTGCATGACTAGGAAGCGGTTGGCTTGCTGAACAAACCACGACGTTGCGCTTCGAATCGGTACGTACAGGGCCAACAAGTGTGAGCTCCTCCACGTTAGCTCCTTCACGTTGGGTATATTGCAAGTGTCCATGTCATTTGGACGGTATGTACACATCGTAACATCCATTTGTAGCCATTTGTGCAATGGCCATAGGTACAAAAACGAGTAAGGGCGTAAATACCGAGCGCGACCGAAATGGTGTGCGGGTGAGATGGCCGGACGGACTACAACTGCCTCAAACATATCTCGGAGCTCGACGAAAGCTCGACATCACAACACCTGCACAATGCGTTGGCAATTATAAGCGGCACAGTCTGACTTGGCCTCCGAGGTTCTTTATTGCCCGCAACATTACAGTAACCCCATCGGCTGACGTCGTGCAGCTGGATGGCGACGATTGCAGGTGAGGATGACCGCCACGACGGGCACAAGCTTTGCCGTATCCCGCGAGAGGGAGGACGACGCAAAGGCAGGAAGAGCGCGTTCCGCTCACGCCTTCGTTTGATTAGCAACGCCTGCGATACGCGACTTGATCTCGTCCTGGTTTCCAATGTAGTGGCCAGACAGCGGAGCGATCGCGTCTTTGTGCGGCACGGGCTGAAAGTTCTCGTCCAGATCGTAGACGAGCGGGACGCCAGTGGGGATATTGAGGCCCGTGATCGCGTCCTCGGGGATATTGTCCAGATGCTTCACGAGCGCCCGCAGCGAGTTGCCGTGGGCAGCAATGACGACCTTCTTGCCGTCTTTGATGGAAGGAGTGATGATCTGTTCCCAGTATGGCAGCACGCGTTCGCCGGTCGTCGCAAGCGACTCGGCAAAGGGCAGTAGCTCCGTCGGTACGTCTGCGTACTTAGGGTCGTTGCCCGGGTAGTACACGCTGTCGCTCTCGAGCGGCGGCGGGGGCGTGGCGTAACTGCGACGCCAGATCATGACCTTCTCGATGCCGTGCTGGTCGACCGTCTCCTGCTTGTTCAGGCCCGTGAGCGCGCCGTAGTGGCGCTCATTGAGCCGCCACGATCGCACCACGGGGATCCACATGAGGTCCGTCTCTTCCAAGATGTTCCATAGCGTCTTGATGGCGCGCTTAAGTACGGAAGTGTAGGCCAAATCGAACTTAAAGCCCGCCTCCCGGAGCACTTGGCCGGCATCGTGCGACTCGTGCTCGCCCTTGACGGACAGCGGCACGTCGTGCCAGCCAGTGAACTTGTTGTCCACGTTCCACTGGCTCTCGCCGTGGCGGATGAGGACGAGCTGGTACTTGGCGGCCATTGCAAGCGACGCGGACGGGATGGGGGGGCGCTGCGCGAGGAGGACGTGGAGTGAGGGCGACGGATCGCGTGTCCATATGAGCCAATCACGATGCGGGATTCAGGGGCATCAATGCAGTCTCGTAGCTGGGCATCATACAGCAAACAAGAGAAAGTCGCGTGGCAGCTCACCTTATCGCCGGACTCGTTTGCAGTGTCACTTATGTGGGTGGAAAAGGCATTGCGGAGGAACAGGTCGCTCGACGCATAAGGCAGCAAAGCAGTATTCGAAACAGCCCAGCTAAGCTGTATTACAAACGACGCAGCTGGGCGGTCCGCACGATATCCATCGCCCTCACCTGACAGTCAGTGCCTAGGAAGCTGTCAGCTGCTGTCATGGTATTGAGGATGGCGTGACGCCGTAGCTGTTGCCGCATCCCTTTTGCCGTTTGTGCAGCAATGCAAAACTTGAACCCGCGTATTAAGTGCCGTCGATCGCTTCGATGCCAATGCAGATTCCGACTTATATACCTGTCGGACGACTGAGTGCAGCAAAGACACGATATCACTTCGTCGGCTTCACGATAAGTGGAGATCATACAAGCGGTACTTCTGCCATCGGCGTTTCCAGTCCTGACAATACTGTCGATCTAGCCAGCTTGGCTACATTGTAGCTGCGTCTTATACACATCTTTCTTCAGCTCACTAGTTGTCTACATGAACCGACAATCGCTCTCGCCATGGTATGGAAGTCAGCACGTAGAACTTGGGCTTTTCGCAAAAGAGCTAACGCTTGTTGACATCGAGACGCGATAGGCAAGGCGGCTTGCAGACGCTTCTTACCACCTGGACATCAGACTTGCTTTTTCTCACGAACCTATATGAATGGAACGATGGAGGTTCATAGCTACATTGCTGCACATGTACTTGTCATCATGTAGTCGCACCATACACGTAGTCAGAGTGCTCACCATTATGCAATATGTGATGACGGTGCTTTGCAATTTGTTAGGCGTCGCTTGAGTTTAACAGACAAGACTGTCGAACGTACACTCTTTGTGTATCATAGCTTAGGATCTCGAAAGGGCTGGAAACGGAGATGTCGGTGCACTATCGTGTTTACGAAAGTGCACCGCGATCATCATTGTCAGCGCAAATAAGCACAGCGGTGACGGAACGGTCAGATTGCCCGTACGGATTCGAAATCGACAACACAAAAGTGCTAATTTCCTCTGGTCACTGAGTCGGCGACGACTTTGTCTTTGATCACTGTCGCACAAAGTTATTCGACACGAGACGTACGATGCCGCGAAGATCGAAGTTTGCTGCCAGCGACCGATACTTAAGACGCCTATGGAATGTCGCAATGGCTCATATGACGGCTCACAGCGAGCTCAGCTAAAGGATAAAATATCATTGTCTTTGTACACGATGGCCTGCACCCTCCGTATAGACGCTGTGCATCAGCCGTATCCGGATGAGCGTATGTGGGTACGCATCGGTTGGTGCATCGATCACTGGTATAGCAAGAGACGCATCAACCGACGAGTACGGATACTCTTTCTTTCTTGCAGATGTAAGCGCGCAACGTGCGTTCAAAGTATCGATTCTAGCTCCATATGGTCACGGTCAAGGCAACGCTACAAGTCGTACCGACACACATAATCAGTTGACGGTTCAGTTTACGGTACCGGCAGCAACCAGAGCCCTAACTGCGGTCAATGTGGCAGTAGCGAAGAATCACTGCCGGCGACTTCTGATTGCACCAGTTGGCGCTGCCAGAGTCGACAGACGTTCTGTGATTGGCCGCCTCGCTTCAACAACACTTCGAAAAGCAAACAACTGCCCGTCCATGCGGGGTGTCCCTTAACTAGGCTGTCTCGTGCTTATGTACACTTGGTGTGTCCCTCGCCGCTTCCCTTCCCCTCTCTCTCTCTCCAGCAAACACAGAAAGCAATCATGGACTGGGATGCCGGCCGCGTCTCATCGGTGGGCATGGAGACCGCCCAGGCCTCCGACGCTCGGCAGACGTCGAGTCCAGCAGCTCTCCAGCGCCGGATGCTGTCTTTCCTACGCGGCTTTCGCGTCGGCCCGTTGTTCTACTACCGTGAGCAGCTACTGGCCAACGCGCGCCGCCACCAGTGGTTCGTGACGGTGCATCTGTCCCACGTCGCCGCGTTCGACCAAGAGCTGCAAGATCTGTTGCTCAAGAGCCCGAAAGAGCAACTGCCGCTGCTCGAACAGGCGGCAAAGGAAATGTTGGCGCAACTGCTCGTTGCCTCGCACGAGGCGTCGGTTGCCGCAACGGGGGAGACCGCATCAGATGCAACGGCAACCTTGAAGGGCAACGTGCCCGACATCCAGGCAATCCTCCGCAGTGACCAAACCCTCGTGCCCCTTCGGCTCGTGCACGCGCAGGATATCAACCGACTGGTGAAAGTCCCCGGCATTGTCATTAGCGCCACGCGCGTGCGCACCAAGTGCGTGTCGGCGTTGCTCCGGTGCCGCCACTGCGGCCACTCGAAGCGCGTGGCGGCGTCGGGCATGGGGGGCGTGAGCATCCCCCGCGTGTGTGACCGCACGCGCGACGACGCGCCGGCTGCGGGCGAGCGCTGTCCGTCGGACTCGTACGCGGTCGTGCCGGACCGGGGCGCGTACGTGGACCAGCAGACGCTCAAGCTGCAGGAGATCCCCGAGGTGGTGCCCACGGGCGAGATGCCGCGCAACGTGGCGCTGGTGGCCGACCGCCACCTCGTGGACCGCGCGTCGCCCGGTACGCGCGTGTCCGTCGTGGGCATCACGTCGGTCCTCAACGCAGGCGGCCGCGCGGTCGGCGCCGTGGCCATCCGCACGCTCTACTTGCGCGTCGTTGGGCTCGAGATCGACGAAGAGGGCGCCGGCCGCGCCAAAGCCACGTTCTCGCCGGCCGACGAGGAGCACTTCCACGCACTGGCGCGCGACCCGCAGGTCTACGAGCGCCTGGCCGCCAGCATCGCGCCGTCCATCTACGGCGACTACACGGTCAACATGAAGAAGGCCATTGCGTGTCTGCTCGTGGGCGGCTCGCGCAAGCGCCTGCCGGACGGAATGATCCTGCGTGGCGACATTAACGTCCTGCTACTGGGCGACCCGAGCACGGCCAAGTCGCAGTTCCTCAAGTTCACGGAGAAGATCGCGCCCGTCGGCGTCTACACGTCGGGCAAAGGCAGCAGCGCCGCGGGCCTCACGGCGTCGGTGATCCGCGACGCCAAAGGCGAGTTCTACCTCGAGGGCGGCGCGATGGTGCTCGCAGACGGCGGCGTCGTGTGCATTGACGAGTTCGACAAGATGCGCGAGGCGGACCGCGTGGCGATCCACGAGGCCATGGAGCAGCAGACCATCTCGATCGCCAAGGCCGGCATCACGACCATCTTGAACTCGCGCGCCAGCGTCCTGGCCGCGGCCAACCCAGTGTTCGGCCGCTACGACGACATGCGCTCGGCGTCGGAGAACATCGACCTCATGAGCACGATCCTCAGTCGCTTTGACATGATTTTCATCGTCCGCGACATTCAGGACGACACGCGGGACCGCCAAATGGCCGCGCACGTCGTGCGCATGCACGCGAACGCGCCGGGCGTGTCGTCGGCCGCAGCACAGCCCTCGACGACGCGCCAGGGGGACGCGACCGCCGGCGACATTGATCCGTGGCTGCTGAAGAAGTACTTTACCTACTGCCGGACGCGGTGCGCGCCCCGTCTGTCGGTGGGCGCGGCCCAGACGCTGCAGGACTTTTACGTGGGCGTCCGCGACGACGTCCGACGGACGCAGGGCGGGGAGACGACGATCCCCGTGACGGTCCGTCAGCTCGAAGCGCTCGTCCGGATCGCCGAGTCGCTGGCGAAGATGCGGCTCTTGAACGAAGCCACGCGGGAGCACGTGCAAGAGGCGATTCGGCTGTTTAGCGTGAGCACGATGAACGCGGCCAAGGACGGCGGGACGCAGGGGCTGTTTGGCGCGTTCCACGAGAAGGCGCACGAGGTGGAGCAGAGCATTTATCGGACGCTGCGGATCGGGACGCGCGTTGAGACGAGTGCGTTGTACAGTCGGTTAGAGGCCCAGGGGTACAACCCGAACGCCATTCAACGAGCGATTCGGGCGATGGTGCAGAAGGGAGCGCTGCGACAGCTGAGTCAGTACAAGTTTGTCTCGCGCGTCAAGTAGGTTTGCTTCGAGGTCTGAAGTAGAGGGTGACGGCTGGACGCGGCGCGAAGGAGAAGTGGTCATGGACGGTTTGCCGTAGGCACTCACCACTGGGTGCTACGTGCGACGTCAGTGAAAGCAGGAGGATGGTCAGGTCGGGTCGTGCGGGAGTACTGCTGGATCAGCAGTCCATGTGGTTCCGTGATACCTGATCGCCGCGACTGCTCTGTCCGTGGCTGTCATGTTTGCGACTTTGTTGGCATTTCTTCACGAAGTTGTCGAGAAGATGCGACGGTATTTACGGCCGCGTCATCATGAGCTATGGCACCTCTTCGAGTCTGAAGACGCGCACGAGTCAACTGGTTCGATGTGGTCGCCTTTGGTTCACAAGTTGTCTATCTCTCCACTGGTCACATTGAACGGGTGAGTGCTTGTCGATGCCTCTCTGATTTACCCATTTACGGTATGGCAACCAGCAAACGTAGCAACATCATCATCATCCAGTCACTCGAGACACTGCAACTGCTGAAACGCGCACGGGAGCAACAAAAGCTCGACCCAGTACAGTACTGGGAGTGCTGGACAATGGGAGTAATTCGGTACGCGGCAGCACTCAAAGCGCTTTTGTAGATAGAAAGCCACGTCGCTAGTGTTTCGATAGCTCACGACTCGTCGATCGCTACGATCACCAAAAGCGTTGACTGTGTATCGATGTTATGCGAGCGCAGGGACGACCTGTGTCTGGCTTTGTCATGGCAGCAAACTGTTGGACGGTCAATTTATCGTCAATGCTTCTGCTTCGGCAAGACGCTCCTGCTGACGATCAAGTAGACGTACTGAGGCCAACGTACGCTGCACCGCCCACTCGAGCGGTCGTCGATTACGTACGTGAGGTCAGTGCGAGTGTGACGGGTGGAAATTTTCGGCCGTCCTCAGCACCAGAAGAAACTGCGTCGGGCATGTCGTAGTGCTGTAAATGCTGGAGAGACGCTCCTGCAGGACGTAAGGTATCCATATGAAGGTGCACGTCGCTTTCACTGCAATCGTGACGTCGCACTCCGATCCAGACAACGACCGGCGACCAACTGTCGTCGTCCGCGTAAGCCAACTGCCTCTTTGTGACCACCGGCCAAGACACGACACTAGAGGTTCACGACAGCGACGGCAGCAAACGCAGCGGTTGTTGACGTCCTCTCGACTGACTGTTTCTACCGCACATTTGATTGCGCGTCGTGCAAGACGGCCTTTTACGCCAGACCAGACGCTACGCGTGTCGAGGTCGCTGGAGCCATACGCGATGCTCACGTTGGACTCGCTCGCTTCAACAACCTGACTGGACCTGCTTTTTCTCGGTACTTCTTCATCCGTCCAGACGGTTTCTCCGCACGCAGTCTGCGTCTCAAGAAACAGCAGACGATCGTCGTTGGCTCGCAAGAGAGAAAACAATGCAGCACTCTCTCCGAACAGCCTCTACGTTCGACAGCAAACTTTTAACGTCCTGCATCCATCCTCTCCACCGCAGCGTTCAGTATCAGTCCTTCCGCCAAGTCGTACGCATTGCGTGAACGACCGGGTCGCAACAGTTCCAGCGTATCACATGCACGTACTTTCAGCGCCCAGCTGGCATTTGCATGCAAAGAGCGACCAGCTGCGAGGAACGTAGTCTGACGTACACCCGTTTGCCCCACATGGCCCCGCACACACACAGGCCATGTGTGGCATCGTCGCCGGTTTCTGGCTATCTCCGCTGGCAATTAGGAGCGAGAAAGCCCATGTCATTTGTTGATTAACGCTCTAGTCTCGACCACGTTGCATGCAGCAGCGATGGCGAACGGAGACCCCGCGACGCATTCGTTGCCACAGATAGTACTGAAGCCCCGAGATATTCGGGAGCTCGAAGTTGTCGCAGACGCGATTCTTGAAGCGAATCTCGAGCGATACCAGCGGTTCACGGATGTTGACAACGCAAAAGTCGACGCAAAGACGTGGAAGTTCATCAAGACGAAAGACCAGATCAAAGTCTACACGAAACGCCGCCACAAACAGCGGAGACCTTCGCCCGAAGAGGTTTCGACGGACGAAGCAGAGGTCGACTTGCAGTCGGTATTGTGCGCGGGATCGACGCCGGGGACGCTGGATGACGTCATGCTCGGCATGTTGAACCCGACGCTCGAGTCGTCGAAAACGCCGTCTCTCAACGACCGCAGTGGCGCAGCAGTGCTTTCGATGGCCAAGACACCGACTTCGGACGACCCGTTCCAGTCGATTGCTGTCAACTGGATGGAGCTCGACGTTCGCCGTCGGTCCATGGGACTTGCGAAGAACCGCGACTATGTCTACGTCGAAGCCACGGGCATGAAAGTGCTGCCGACCGGTGGACGACTCGGCTATCGTCTAATGCACTCGGTGGACTTGCCCCAGGCACACGTCTTGGACGGACGTATACGTGCGAAGCTGTCGGTGTGCTGCTTCTACCGCCAAGAGACCGAGTCCTCGGTGTCGGTCTATATCTTGGGGATGATGGACGCTATGACCGACCGAGTGCAGCGACTGATCGTGCCCCGTTTCGTCCAGAAGATGCTCCTTCCGCTCAAGTACGCGCACTTCATTGAGATGAAGAAGCTGACCCAAGCCCTTGGTGAGCGCTACGCGCAGTTGAAGACAATCAAGTTACGGGGTCTCGATCAGCAGTGCGCCGCGTGCGACAAGCGTATGGGCCGTCTTGGAAAGTTCGTGGGGCACCACTGCACGTGCAAACTGTGCTTCAAGTACGTGTGCAACGCGTGCAAAGTGGACAAAGACATGAGCTTCGTCACGCTCGACCTCAAAATGACTCATCGGAAAGTCACCTTTTGCCCGTCGTGCGTGACCGATGCGACCGTCGAGTCCATCCCGGAGCTGTCGTTTGTCGAACGTCGCAGCCAGAACGACTTTCGACGGAACAACTCGATTCGGTCTTCGATCTCGTCGGGATGGGGGACAATGATGGAAGATGACCCGCAGCCAGTGATGGTCTGATCGATGACCACTCTGTCTGGGTAAACAAACGCTAGAAGTCTTTGTCAGTCGCGTCCGTAAATATGAGTCTTTATTATCCACTGCGTCTAGTGAGGAAGATCTCATGCGGCGCTTGTTTGCGCAGCGTGTGATGTGTATCTGCATTGATAGTCCACACAAGTGCTATCTCTCTGACTCCCGTTCACTCTGTCACACCAGCCGCCGGTCGGCCACTCGCCTCTGTCGCAAAGACCGCCTATAGAGCGATTTGGATGCTGGATCTTTACCCGCGGCTGACTCACATCGTGCACTGACGAGCGTCCAGACCGCTTCGTAACTTTTTTAGTTGATGCTTTAGCGCTGACGTTACGTATCGGTGAGGCCGCTGTAACATGCAGAAACAAATAAGTAGTAGACGAGCAGTCGTGTTGACCAGACACGTGCTGAAGTGTATGGACCGCTGAACCCAATGCACGTCGAAACAGACCATGTGTCTCTGTAGGGTCATGAAGTAAACTAACGCAAGTAAAGCCCAACACACATATCCAGACAGCAACACGTTGGCGAGCAGCAGTACATCAAGAGTCAAAAATCTGCCTACAGACTCCTCGTTGATGGCGGACGTCCTTGCGATGTTCGGTCAGGCTCACACATGGCTTCATTAAGATGCAACGGCTATCAAACAAGTTTTTCGAAATGATCGCTGTCGGGCTACTAGCAAATGAACGATGTAAGGTCAGGAAACGCGGCATGCACATGTGGACTCGCGATGACAACGTTAATGATAAACACATAAGCGACACTGATACCAATACGAATGCACTCGGCGACGGTCAACACAATGAGATTCGTACACTCGTTGGCACATATACTCCAATCACGGAATGCAGTCACGGCCGCGGTACAACGATACGTTGTCGCTAATCTTATAGCTATGGGTGTTTTTATAGCACTACTTCCATGCTTTCGTGTCTCGGCACATAAGATCAGAGCACATCAGATAATAATACACAAAACAGTTGATCGCCCCTTATTTGCCCGCTTGTGTAAGGCCAGTCAAAGAGGAGGCGATTTGCTGTGATGGCGCGAGGAGAACAAACATGATTAAACTTCCCTTACTCAGACTTTGGCATGTCGACCGATCTCGAGCACATATCGGGTGTACGACGCTCCCTCATGATGCATCATCTTCTTGTGCTCTTACCGATTTCACTAGCTTGGTCGTGAATGATGTGTTGTGTACAGGTTGACGAGTGTACGGGAATTGCTGGTCGATAAAATCAACCAATATATCATAGTTTCGACAACAACAGCTTGGCGACCGTGATGTTTGCGCTACTAAGCATTACCGTTTGCTGGATCGATTAAAAGAGCAATCATTTGTCGCACGGTGTCACGCTAACACTATATTGCGTTTCGTTCGTGTGCCCTTACCGTTTTTGCACGCTTCTTTAGCCACATATTGACACGTACGTGACCTCCTTGCCCGCAAAGAGAAGATCTGAAATCATGAAATTCGTCAGTTGCTACTTGTACACACATCACAGATACGTTTCGTGACCAGATACACGACTCCCTCTTTGGTTGTGGCTGGAAACAAAAGTGCAACGTGACTACCACTTCGCGGGGAAATTATGTGTAACGGGGCACGACTTGTGTCAATTCGACACAAGGTTGTGTGCACCCGACGTCCCGTACACGTGGCGAGGAAGCGCAGCGAAGTAGGCAAAACTCTAAAGCTCTGTCTAAGGGCAAAATTGGAACTGTATTGAATATCGTTAAGCTTCTTACTAAATCATCTTTCGTCTTAATCTAACCATTTGAACTACCATCTCCTATGTGGGTCTCTTGCTCACCACCCATTGCGCGCGTCCAGCAGCGATTGTTGGTTAATTTGGTTGATGTAGATGTTATATCAACCAAGAAGTGGAGCATCCACGAATATTACCTTTGGGGGTAATATTCCGACAGCATGACCTCTTCTCGAGTGATGTTGATTGAATATTATCAAAATATATGATGCTCAAAAATTGATACTTTCTGTCAAATTTATGTAACGATCTCATCCCGTTACATTTCCATTCCTTAACCATCAGTCACTATAGTAAGTGGTTTATAATTTGTGACAAAGCGACAACCGTCGTGTCGCTCTGGGGAAAAGGAGCACTTGTTGGTCTTTCCTCTCATTCCTGCTATTTAGTGCATGAAGAGTCCGTCCGTGCGCTGCGCGAACAAGGCCGCGACTGAAGCGGCTGTGCGGATACGTGCAGCCGGAGAACAAGCTGTCCAAGGGTCAGCAGCAGGTGTCAATTCACCTGCTGCTATCAGTAAGCAGCCTGCAACTTCCGTAGTTGCAGGAGCACGTGGTTATCCACGTGCAGCTCTTTTGCCGGCAGATCTGGCTGTGGGTGATAGTCCCATGAACCAAGATTCCGAGATAGAGTTGATCTTTTCTGGCAAGTTGGATTCTTCCGACTCGAAGCCGTCCGCAAATCCCGACCGTACGGTTGCGGAAACGACGACTGCTGCTCCTCGCGGCAGTCTCGGTAAAAATTTGCACCATGAGCTAATCGATTCATCCGACGTCGCTGTGAAATCGTCGCCGGGATCGAATCGATCGCGCTCGTATTCTTACGAGGCGAGTGCGAAACATGAGAACTTATGTTCTCATGATAATGTTGATGACTCTTCGCGGAGTCATCGAAGCCATAGAAGCAGCAATTCTAGGTATTGCGGCGATCGTGCTGCCAGCTCTCATGTTGACACCACGCAGAAGGAGATGGGTAGCAACGCGTTACGATCCGCTCCTGAGGAAAAGCGATCGATGCCTACCTTGTGCGAGCTGAGACAGTGGTATGGATATACCACTGGGAGTTTTGAAATCCCACTCTTTAAATCGTCAATTATCCATGGAATTGATTCCAGTGCGAAGCATTATCGCACTGAGCTTGGTGATTACGTCGGTGTCTTTTTCAGACATCGATGGTACCACGGTAATCACAAGCGAGACGGTTTCACGTAGGTTCCGGCGTGTATTTTTTTCATCGGCAATATTGAAAGTGTTGGCCGTGACACATGGCTGGAAAAACTTACAGCAGCTCGCATTAATATCGAAAAGAAGTCCATAACCAGTGCTCGGTTAGATTGCACTGATTGTCTCGAGATGCAGAGTTACATTGCTTCTTGTAGGGAGAGAAATGTCACAGTTGTATTGAAAACTCTGCTCACGCCCCTAGGGAGGCATACCTCCCCAATCAACCCTACCGGAGGGCGCACATCTCTTCCGAGATCTTACAAGGGAATGAGAATTTACAAAGCACGTCCTTGAATTCGATCAAATCCTTATACAAAGGATTTGACATGAATCGACTCTCAGGATTGAGACGTGTATCGCTCAATCAGAGTCTTCTCATCGAGGACAATTTCTTCCATCGATGAGCTGCTAAGAACCTGTTCGTTCTCAGCAAATACTGTTGCCGACCGAATATCGGCCACATACTCATCCTCTGTGACGAGTATGCAGATCTGCTTGACTTTGCCACTACGCAGATCACGCAAGAACTGTTTCGTCTCGAGCGTTGGCAATTGATTTATCTCCGAAGTTAACTTCGGACGCACAATCAGATCAAGCGTACAAGCGCCTACGCTTGATCCGTTATTACCAAGACGTTCAACGTCTCGGTTTCGTACTGGGAACTTGTTTCCACAGATTGCTGAGAGCCTAATCTTTCAGAATGAGACTCTTAAGGAATTCCTTCCTCAGGCACGTGGGTACTTATTACCTCGACGTCTTCTGACTGTGGCTGTGCATGCACAGTCAGGTCTTGATTATCTACGGTCGACTCTCCAGTCCACCTAGGATGACTGTGTTGCCTTTTGGTGACAACAGGTTTCTTCTTTCTAGGATGTTGCCCGCTAGGCATACATCCATGTCCTGGTCCACTCGACTTCTTCGAGTGGTGGACCTTCGGCGCTGCCTGTAATTTTATACAGCCGCCGGGAGCTTGCTCCACAGTGTAGTGATCAACTACACTGTGATCTTGTGCAGTCGTGCTAACGACCGTACCGCAAGTGAGACCATCGCACTCACTCGCAGTACATCCACACGCTTGTGGACGCTCCAAGACGTTCATCAGATAGCTATATGATGAAAAAGTGGCAGGTGTCTTCACGGATCGATGCTGCCAGCTGACCCTTGGCTCGTATTTTCTGAGCCAAGGTAATCCCAGGATGACATCAAATTTGTCATCCAGATCTAGTACGATGAAGTCATCATCGTACTGTTCGCCCTCCAACGTGTAGTGGATTCCGACTACACGTTTCTCAACGGTAATCGATGCGCCTGTTGCAAGGCGCACCGTCATCCTTGTGAGGGGAATGTCGCGCTCAACGAACTTGAGCCTACGACCCTCTAGTGACTGGCGACGAACAAAGTTGTTCGACGCCCCACAGTCTACTAGGGCACGAAGCGACAAGTCATTTGTCGCTTCCAACTTCAAGGTGATGAGCGAAACGTCATCACCAGGTGCAGAGACACACAATGATTGTGTATCTGGAGCAACTTTCGTCAAGCGATTTGCAGATTCTCTTGAAGTTTCTGGATCAGTAGGGCGCTCCGCCCCTACTGACCCCGACCATTTTTTGATGGTCCGTCTCGCTGTTGCGGCTTCGCAATAGCGTTGGACGTACGTCCATTGCCCTTTCTGGCGAATGGACTTCCATTTCGCTCAGTACTGTTTGGTACTGGGCGTGGAGCACTACACTCATAAGCGTAGTGTTCTAACTTCTGACAGCGATTTCTCTCTCCACACAACAGATGCCCATTGGTTCGGGACCTCCAATCTCTTGTCGTTTCGGTGGAAGATAAGAGATCAAGCTAGCAGGAGCCTGTCCCAGGCTTAAGTCTTCCTGTTCCGCGGATGATATCTCTTCTTCAAGCGTATCCAACTCCAAACGAAACAGGTAGATTTTACGCGCCCATCAGCGAGCCCTTGCATGAACACAGTAATCAACGTGTGTTCATGTAAAGGGCTAGAAGTTTTACTACTCGCGAGGAGTCGTATATGATGAGCATAAGCGTGCACATCACGCTTACCTTGTTTGAGTTTCAGGATCTCTGATCGAGCCCTGAACTCAGCCCTTGGCGGCTGAAACGTTCGTTTGAGCCGGGGCTTGAATGATTCAAGCGACTCATAAGCTATGGGTCGCTCATTTCGAGCCCTGAACTCAGCCCTTGACGGCTGAAACGTTCGTTTGAGCCGGGGCTTGAATGATTCAAGCGACTCATAAGCTATGGGTCGCTCATTTCGAGCCCCAAGACCCGAGTCTTGGCACGTCCCGCTGATCGGGGTTGAGCAAATGTGATTTTTACTTGCTCATGGTCGATACGGCGTGCCCGTATGGCTCTGTCTTGTGTGACGAACCATAGTAACAGGGAGTCTATCTCGACTCCTCTGTACTTGGAGATGTCAACTTTCATGACTTCGGGACGACACATACGCGTCGTCCCGCCCACATCAGCATTGAATTGCTGCTGTCTCAACAGCTCTGTCTGTTGAGCACCGAGTTCTCTCAACTGCTTGGCCTGTTGAGAGCCTTGCTGGTGAAGCAAGGCTACCTTTTTCTTTCGGCGACAAGCTCATTTTGTTCAAACTTGGCTATAGCGACATGTTGTTGGTCCCTGTCAAGGGACTCCAACATGGCGCTTGCGGCGTTTTCGCCGACGGTAGAACTCATTCGTTCTACCGCACCCCATTCGATGTCACTCAAATGGTTAAATCCTTCGCGCGACGCGTAAAGCTCTCCTCTTCATCCAACATGTTCATATCGGATGAGGTGGTTGTAGTCGCTAGACGGACTACAAAGTGCTAACAGGTGTATCGGGGCACGCCTAGTGTCAATTCGGCACAAGGTTGTGTGCACCCGACGTCCCGTACACGTGGCGAGGAAGCGCAGCGAAGTAGGCAAAACTCTAAAGCTCTGTCTAAGGGCAAAATTGGAACTGTATTGAATATCGTTAAGCTTCTTACTAAATCATCTTTCGTCTTAATCTAACCATTTGAACTACCATCTCCTATGTGGGTCTCTTGCTCACCACCCATTGCGCGCGTCCAGCAGCGATTGTTGGTTAATTTGGTTGATGTAGATGTTATATCAACCAAGAAGTGGAGCATCCACGAATATTACCTTTGGGGGTAATATTCCGACAGCATGACCTCTTCTCGAGTGATGTTGATAGAATATTATCAAAATATATGATGCTCAAAAATGGATACTTTCTGTCAATTTTATGTAACGGGCTCCAACCGTTATATCATGCGTAGTTTCACTCGTGTACGCGCTCGGTGCCGCCTACGAGAATAGGTCCGAATGCAGATCACATGTTTTGGTAAACTTTCGAGAAGCTGGACGCACAGCTAATAACTATCAGGATCCTGTACTTCACGACGAGAAGCCTACGTTCGATCTAGGGCGGACCAAGAATAAGATTAGATCGATACCATCGATACAACTTGTCATTACAATATATCTCGCCGACTTATGGCGTGCCTTCGGCTTTCAAAGCTGGCCATCTCGCAGCTGTTCTCAGCGTAAATTGCCCGCAAAGAAGCCTGCATATAAAGCGACTTTAGGAGAGCTCACGACACATTTAACGTCCAAAGTTGTTGAAACATGAATCCATGATTCTTGTATACCTCTTGTCATTGTAATTTTTATAATTGTACAATTAATTTAGAATGGATGAGAATTTTTAGCAGTCACTGACAAAAAGCTCGGTCCGTTCGTGCGTCCACTGCTTTGACAAAGGTGACGCCCATGCGAATATGCTTCTGTAGGTCTACAGAGACGCCACTAAGTAGTATAATCGTTGACGATAGTTCGGCACTAGACACATTGTAAGTTCTGAGTTCAGCCATCATTGGTAGTTAAGGTCTTAAACGGCACTACAACAATTGATCAGACGATCTCGGGTCGTGTGATCTTTCTCTGATCGTTTGCATCCTCTTCCGTTGCCTCAGTCGACGCTGGGTTGTACGATCTGATTGATTTAAGAGCAATTTGAAGCGCAGTAAAACTTTACAATCAGCCAAACGTGTCCCACAGATGAAAAAAACACGTTTTTTGTCTTTACAGAGTCACGACGGATGCTTTCGATACATGGCCTAAGCCTCAAACGTGAGCTGTTAAACATTTTCGTACGTGACGTGTTTACATTCGGGAATTCGTCTCGTTACGCTTCGGCTTCATATCGGCTAAATCAGCTGCTGGATTGACTTGTGCATGCGACTTTGTCAGTGCACTCGAGTCATGTACTTCTATTCATCGAGAAAGTAGTGGCTGGTGTTGGCAAGGCGACTGAGAGCGGCGAAAGACGGCTGAGAACATGTCCGAGATCGAGAAGGCATGGACGAAGATAAATAAGATCGGAAAGGAAGTGATAGCCGCAATGTCGGAGGCGGGCGAACGAAAGAATGCGGTCATGTAGTTGGTACAATGCAGCTGGCGAAAGTGTTGTAAGTAAAGCGAGGAGACGTATGGTAGACGATGGCTTTTACCCGTTATACAAAGGCAGTGTGGAATGCATAAGTCAGTGGTAGCAATGCACTCTGCAACATCTGCTGCGCTATGTCCGCACAGAGCGAACTGCAGTGCGAGAGCGGCCACTGCACTTGATGACGTCGTCCATTCAATTCACGTTTTGCCATCATAAGCTACGAGCAAACCCGTAGACAGCTGTGCGGCGCCCCAACAACAAACAGCTCCGACCTGCCCATATCCGATCACGAGTTCAACCACACAGCTACCAGTCTGCCAGTCCACTGCACTGCACTGCAACAACTCCGCCTCCACACGTCCACAACGGCGTTTGTCATTCATTCATTACGAGACAAGTGCCACGAGGCGTTCTAACACAATCAGCACGCAGTCAGTCCTGCCTCACACGCACTACCCGCAGCTACTCGCGTAGCCCGACACGGTGCTCGCTTCCGAGCCGTGAGTGTACAACTGCTTGGCCGCTAGTCCGCCCGTAGTGATACCAATCTGAGCCCGCGCAGCATCCGCTGCCGGTGCGCGGATCGCGTCGTTCAGACACACGGCACAGAACGTGACTTTCCGCTGCGCCAGCAGCAGGTCGGGCGTCACGAAGCTCAGCTTGCGCTGGATCTTGCAGCTGTGGCACACGTAGCCAAAGCAGAGTTTGCACGTGGCGTCCGACTTGCCAAAGTCCCCGAGCCGGCGGTTCGTAATGGCCGCGTTGCACGTCACGCACACGAGCTCTCGATTCGGCGTCCCGAGCTCCTTCGCCTCGGCGTAGCGCTTCTCGAGGATCGCCTGGAGCTTTTTCATCTGCCCGCAGTGCGCGTACTTGAGCGTCGCGAGGAACGTCGTGGCCATCGTGGGGACCACGAGCAGGCGGATCATGTCGCCGCCCGGGTCCATGAGCCCCGTGACAAAGATCTCGCTCACGTGGGGCCGCACTTGGCGGAAGAACGCGCAGACCGACAGGTGCGCGCGCACGCGGCCCGGGAGGTCGTGCGTCTCGGCAAAGTCCACCGAGTGCATAATGTGGTACCCCACGGTCTCCCCACTGGACAGGTGCACGACGTTCGTGGCCTCGACGTAAACGTAGTCGCGATTGCGCACGAGGCCCGTGGCCTGCAGCGGAATGTCCATCTCCATCCACTTGACCACGAGCGAGTGGAACGGCTGCGCGGCAGTGGGCTCCACGAGGTTGGCCAGCACGGCCGCCCCGCTCACGTCCTCGACGTACGACGCCTTGAGGCGCATGACCTCGAGCGTCGGGTTCACGACGCCGAACATCATGTCCTCCATCTCGCCCACGGTCGTGCCCACGCACAGCAGCGACGGCAGCTCCGACGACGCGCCCGAGCGCTTTGGCAGCAGCGCCGGACGCTTCGACGCCGACGCTTTTTCCTGGTACACGCGCGTCTGGTCGCGGCTTTTCACGAGTTTCCACTGACTCGGGTCGACGCGGCTCTGGTCTGCCGTGATAAAGTCCTCGTAGCGCGAGAGGTTCGAGTCGAGGATGAGGCTCGAGAGCTCGTGCAGGTGGCTGACGTCGGACGGCGAGAGCACGAGCTCGGCGAACGGATTGACGGTGAAGCGGCCCTTGACCATTGCGGGGGACGTCACTTAATCGTCAGTTGATCGGTTGGGCAGGTGTTGTCTGTCTGTCTGTCTGTCTGTCTGTCTGTCTGTCTGTCAGTCTGTCTGTCTGTCTGTCAGTCTGTCTGTTGGTTGAGGCCGAGCAAAAGCCGCAATGACTCGAGCGCCTCTGTGTGTGTGTGTGTCTCTCTCTCTCTGGCAGAGTTTGAGGATGAGGTGCAGGGCGCAGGTGGTGAGGTGTGGTGGCCGACCGCTTGGCAAACTGACTGGAGGCAGTTGTCCTGATCGATCGCCACCCGCTGTCGGTGCTCAGAACACGGCGTCGACTCTGCTTTCCACAGCATCCGATAAGACCAACGGCAAAGAGGCCAATCGGCCGCAAAGCTGTGTGTATTTCCGTCCCGAACGGGAGCGGTCCGACGCGAAGCGGACGGCAGTTCACGGACAGCACGAAATCCCGACGCGCGAGTTCGACGCCGCATAGCCGGACACAAGTGGAGCCGCCGCAACCGATTGAGTTGCCGCCTGCGCAACACTTTTCTTCCAACGTGATGCTCACGCGCATGTTCGGCCATACCAACTGGTTCGAGAGTCCCTCGTAGCGAGAAACGAACTCGTTGGCTGACAGGCGCTGGCTCTCGTTCCGCTGCAATGTGCCTCACGTATCGTTTCGATCGCATCACGTCGGCCGCAACAGCTGTCCACTTTTTGTTTACGCGCTGGTCGGCAGTTGCGTCGTATATCGATGCGCCGTTCGATGACTGTCTCTGTCTCTGTCTCTCTCTCTCTCTCTCTCTGTGTGTGTGTGTAACCGATTGCCGAACACATGTGCTTCAGTAAGTAAAGGACTCGTCACGTGCACTTCTTTCTCTGTACGACTTTCGGTCGGTCGCTTCAGTCGGCCTCAGATGGTCATGGACTTCAAATCGACTGACGCGCATCTTCGCATCTCTACCAATGGCGTAACAATTGCAAGTCGTTTACTTTACACGACGCTCTCTAGTGCTCCTCACCCGTCGACTTGTCAACTCATTACATAGCAGGCGCTGCTGGCTGCATCCAGACAAGAGCCACTACGACCTCTCGACCGCGTGCTTCGTCAGCGGCAGCAGAAACATCTCCAGGCTCAGGCCGAGAGAGTAGACGACGGACGTGATGATAAAGCAGACGCGGTAGCCGTACGCGTCAATGAGGTACCCCCCGAGCACGGCGCTGCCCGACCAGGAAAAGACCGACAGTCCTTCGAGCGCGTTCCAGCGGGCACGAATGTTCTTGGGCACGTAGTCCATCAATATCGACCGTCGCAGCGGTTGCGAGCAGCGCATCATCCCGCCGCGCATCAGGAACAGCGCAATCTGTAGCGCCGCCGATTGGGCGAACGCCATAGCAAACAGACACGCGACCGAGAGCGTCCGTGTGATTGCAATGAGCGGCATGCGGCCGCACGATCTCGACAGCCGCTGGGCCGCAAACGACAGGATCATGACCACGAGCGGCTGCGTCATGAACAGCACGCACATGTGAATGGGCGTGAGTCCGTACTCCTCCTTGAAAAACAAGGGGAAAAAGTTGATTGTCATCCCGGCTCCATTGCTGATGATAAAGTCCGACACGAAGATGAGGTACGGCACGTGTTGCGTGCGGAAGCAGAGGAATGTGGTCTCCCAATTGGCCATGTAGCCCTCGTCGTCGTCGTCGTTGTCGATCCCGTGCTGCAGCCGCTCCTTGTCCATCGCGTGACCCGTCTTGTCCTCGAGTACCGACAGCAGCACCGTCTTCTCCGACACTGTCATAGTCGGCGTCGGCTGCTGCTCGACCGCCAGCTCGTCTTCGTCCGGGTAGTCGTAGACCATATCAATCTCATTGCCATTGCCCACGAGTTTGGGCGTGCGGAGAGGCGACGGCGGCACCGCGTTCAACTGCATTGGCTGCTCGTCCAGCGGCGGCTGCTGCCCTGTCTGCATGTAGTCCCTCGCGCGGTCGTCGTCAAAGTAGAACAGGACCAGCGCCCCCACGGCCGCTAAGACCGCGCCGAGCTCCAGCACGGGCTTCAGCTCGGGCAGCTGCCACTCGTCGCCGTAGACGGAGAAGAGCCCAATGCTCAGCACGGGCCCGAGCATCTGCGCCAAGTTGCTCGTGTTGTACTTGATCATGAACGGATAACTGCGTCGGCCGGGGGCGATCGAGTCGGCGAACAGCGCTTCGAGCGCCGGACTTTGGAGCGCGGCAAAGAGTCCCCAGAGCCCAAACGCCACGTAGAGACCATCGAGGGACGTGCGGTTGACGGCGACGAACGTCGTAGCGGCTGCCACGAGTCCGAGAGCGCCCGAGAGCTTTAGCACTGCGTCCCGGCGGCTGTGGTCGGCGCAGTAGCCGCCGGGGAACGAGAACACGAGCTGCGAGATACCCTGAAGGCCTTTTACAAGGCCTACGGCTTTAGTGGAGCGCGTGAGCACAAAGACGTAACCTGCAAGGACCTGCTGGAACAAGATACTGCACGACATGGCTACATGAGACAACACTGATGGCTACAGGCAACTTAAGGGTGGAATGTTGATAACAATGGCTACACGGCGTGGACAGCGATTAAGTACGCACGCACGACTTGATAAAGTATACGACCGTACCTGCGGGCCGACCAGAAAAACAGCGTGAACACGTACGCGAGCCGCACGTTGTGCGTCGTGCCTTTCCACGCTGACGATCTCATTGCGCGGCGGAGAGGGCGTGGCAGGAGACGCGATGGACGCGCAGGTTGGAGAGTGATGACGTGGGCCACAGCACAAGTGACGGCGGCGGCTGCGGCGGCTGCGTCTCATGCGACAGGTGGCATCGGGTCGATGGGCTCAGCCAATAAGCTATTTATGTAAAACGATTTGTTCGTGTGGTACACGCGAGATTACGCCGATGTAATCAACGATTGAAACACCCTCACGGTTGTTCAAAACCGAACTTTTGCTTCTTCGATCGTCTGTTTTATTCGCTGCTTCGGTGGATCGATCGATTGATTGATCGATTGAGTGCCCAACTGACTGACTCATTGAGTGATCGAGCCATTCCTCATGGGGCTCACGCAATCGAGCGAGCGCCGCCCTGTCTTCTACTTCATTGGCGACTCCATCACGCAGTTCGGCAGTGATCCCGACAGGAGCGGGTTCGTCACGCTCTTGCAGAACCACCACGTCCGTGCCGTCGACTGCGTCAATCGTGGACTCTCGGGATACAACACCAAGTATGTGTTTTTCGTCGTCACCCGAGTTTTTGTTTTGATCACGTTGTTTCGACCGAGGTCACATGTACTGATTTTAGTAATCTTTTTGTTGTTTTTTGTTCCTGCTAGATGGGTGCTAAAGCACGCTATGCCCATTTACGCCAACGAGCTGCAGAACGAGTACTCGGCGTCCTTTGTGACGGTCTTTCTCGGGGCCAACGACGCAGTGCTCGAGCACGGACCCGGCGCCGCTCAGTACGTGTCGCTCGAGGACTATCGGGCGAATCTGCACAAGATCGTGCAAACGGTGCGGCCGCTACTGGCTCCTCGTGGCCAAGTGCTGCTCATCACGCCGCCCTGTGTCATTGACTCGGCGCGTCAGAAGGACCGCAGCAATGCGTCGGCCGCCAAGTACGCCAAAGCGTGCGTCGAAGTGGCTGCGTCTGAGAACGTTCACGTGCTTGACTTGCACACGTACTTCAACACGACGTATCCGGACGAGTGTGTTCGCAAGACGTACTTTGTGGACGGACTGCATTTCTCGGACAAGGGCAACCAGGAAGTGGGCAAGTTGCTCGGCGTGGCCATCAACGGCATGTTTGGGAAAGACGAGCTTGCGCAGTTCGACAAGTGGCAGTTGCCCGACTGGAAGGATTTAGTCCAGTGCGCCGAAGCAGAGTCGCAGTAAATGAAGCGGCGTCTCGGTGTCTCACGTCATTGTAGCTGTTTGCTATCTACGAGTTTAAAACAACTGCTGGATGTGTCGCTCAATCGTGAACGCTCTGTTCGTGCGTATACCCCTTTTTTCAACGCGTAACAGCTGCCATCTTTTTTCACTATTAGGACATTTGGAACGACCTAAACAGCAAATGTGTTTGGTGAATTGATAGAGGTCAAATGTCACACGTAGCGATTGGCTTCTTGCGTCTCATGTGGAGGGACTGTCGAAAGCGACTTTGTATGGTACGTCGTGTTGGGAACGATACAACGCATCTGTACTGTAGTAGACTGTTTGATTCCGTTTGAAGGACGGCAATCAATCGACACGCATGCGTGCCCAACAATATGAATGTACGGCGGTTCTGACCGGGAGGTTACGGGTTCGAGTCCCAGCAGATGGACAGCTCCATCAAGGCTAGAATCGAATGCAAAGCCGCGCCACTGACTGGGCTCTCAAATGGGTCGCAGCCGGTAGACAATGTGAAGCGAGCGTGCAAAAGGTACGCCACGGAGTCGCAAATTCTGTAAGTTACTGATCGCAGGTATCTGGGAGTTAAGGATTGTAAGGGAAACTTCCTGGGTAGAATGAAACTACCCAACAATATGAATGTACGTTGCAAAATGTGCTCGGTATCACTAGGACCATGAGTGGCGCGTTGTAACGGGGTAGCCCGTTACATGATATTGTCACTAAGGATAAAATGACAATAAAGAATATTACGTTGAATATTCTTTCAACAATATCACAAGACATGGTGATATTGTTAACGATGACCGAAGGGTCTACTCATTGGTTGATATCGTGATGATGTCAACCCACCAATCGCTGCTAGACGCGCGCAATGGGTGGTGAGTAGACGTCATCATACAAATAGTTACATCAGTTTAGTTAAGTCAGGACAAACAGAGATACAAGAGTTATAGGACTTACTTATATTATAACAGCTTTACTTTTCCTACGACTAGAGTCTTTCACCTTAGTCGTTCTACCTTCCTCTGTGTAGTTCTACACCTAGCTGGGCACTGACTATCACTACAGTAAGTGATAGTAAACTCCGTACTGGTTGACCAGTACGTAGTCGTCGGTGCCCCGTTACACGCATGCTGTTCGTTTTACATGGTGTAGTCGTTGGTACCGGCACAACAATTGCACTGTTGTTCACGAACGCGCAGGCAAAACATAGCGATGTACTTATTCTTGTACGCATTCGCTTCCATTACCCGGCGATCGAGCAGTTCTGTAATCTGCTGCAAATTTGTTGAGCCAACTACAAATTAATCCAACCATCATGGAGCGTCTCGTACGAGCGACGGCTGACGCAACTGCATCGTGTTACATGAATAAACCTATTGATATACCAACCGATCGATGCTGACTCACTTTTCGTGAATCGGACGTACATCAAAATGTATCCACTCTCATTGTTAATGTCATAGAAAGGTGTAGCGGAGCTACACACCTCCTTGAGTCAGAGGAAGACCTTGACGCTCAACGAGCAGCTAAAGATTAAATATACCCGACTCCGAGCGTCAAATGGCTCAGAGAGCTTAAGGGTTGGTTCAAAGAATCCGACTCAAAGGGTCAACAAGCTCAGAGAACTTACGGTCCCTATTCCAGGGAGACCAAACGATTTAGAAAATCAACGTACAGAGTGCACAACGGGTAGCTGCCTTAACGAAGCGTTGCTATCTCCTCAAACGATCCAAAACGCCTCAGAGAGGCACGTGTCTTTCGGATCAAAATGGGAACTGAACTTAATTTCTTCTTTTAACCTAAAAACACCTTAGAACAACGTAATTAACCTACTCGCTAATGTCCTAAATAAACCTCTCAAAAAATCTCGTAATTAACGGTTGACAGACATCATTCTTTAACAATTGATACTGTGTTCTAATATCACTTTAGAAGAGGATCCCATCCCTTGTGTGCACCACACCTATTGTAGACTACCAGCCGACCTGTAATCTTGTTACAAAAGGTGTGGGGCGGATCAGGCATCACTTCCCCAACTGTAGCAGCATATCAACAACGAAATGGAGTGCTGAGGAGTCGTTTATGATGCTTAACCGGTCCACTCCGACAGATTCTCTAGAGCGTAAAATGGATGATATCGGAGTCAGAAACAAAGGGCGTATCGACTTGTGTTATGAATTGCTGCACGTAAATGGTCCTGGTTTTTGATTATTTTCCCCGCCAACAGAGCTGCTGATAGTGCCTACAAACCTCCTTTTCTTCGAGCGGTAGCGATAATGCCCCTGCCACCAGATTCCCCCTGAGTGCAGCGTGTTTTATGGCGCCTAATGTATATTGCCGTTGTACTTGTCGCAGTAATTCTCTTGGTGGTACTCGATGCATTTGTCACTTAGGCGCTCTTAGAAAGTCGGCTGCGCTGTCTTGTTGTGTCGCAAAGCTTACACGCTTCGTTAGTGCATATCAGGTTGTACGCTTACCAGGCTGTTGTCGAGTATAGACGCTAGACTCCGAAATTGGTGATCAAAAGTAGATATGTTGGCTCGCTTCCACTCTCGCTTCGCTCCTTTCCTTCACTTTTCATCAGGTACCGTTTCAGATCCACCCACCCATTTGCTCTTCGTTGTCCGTTGCTTCACTGACGTTCCTCTATTACACCATTCACGCTTGTCCAGCAGACATTAAGATCACTTACGTACATGTTATCAATGATTTTTAGCTGTCAGGTGTCCTTTTGATGCAAACCTCATTTGAAGTTAATACTCGTCCAGTGCTTCGGAAAATATATAACGATTACTGCGCTGGAGCATCGTCGGGTGTTACTTCACGTCGATGCAAGGCTGCAAATGACTCGAGTCCTACAACATGATGGATATACTTGGCTCAATGCCAGTCTCGGCATTCCCATGAGTCTGTACTGAATGGCGGTAAGAATAGTGTATTGTTGGCGTAGTGCTTCGAAAAGACCCCTATGTCGAGAGGGCTCAGCGTACAGCTAAATTAAGTGTTCGTGGAAGATGCAGAACATAACATTTAAGCTCCGCGCTGCGCTTGTGTTGCTTATCGTCGTCAATCGAAAGGATTACACATCTCGACGTCATATAACCAGTCAGTCATGCATAGAGTGTAGCGCGATGAGACCGTTACATAAACATTGTTACGAGGTACCAATTTTTAAATATTATCTATTTCGAATATTTTGAAACAACATTACTCGAGACGAGTTGATGTTGACGCAATGTTACCTCGAGGGTAACATTTAAGCGCTTCACCTGATGGTTGATGTACTGTGTACATCAACCAGATTAACCACCAATCGCTGCTGGACGCGCGCAATAGGTGGCGGGAAAGACACCCACATATGAGATTGTAGTTTAATATAGTTAGATAAAGACAAAGATGGTTTATTATGAAGACATAACCATATTCAATAAAGTTCTACTTTTTCCTCAGACAGAGCCTCCGACTTCTGTTTGCTTCGGCTTCGCTTCGACTCCACGTGTACGTGAGGTTAGGAGCACTTAGCCGTGTGAAATCGTACACAAGGTCTTACCAATCATCTGACAAGAAGCTTACCCTGCTATGGAGATTAAAAGGATTCCTGGATTAATGTCCTTGTCCGATATGCCGTTGAGCTGTGGGTACGCTATGCAAAGTGGTCATCGTTGCTCTGCGTATCGAGTATATTGTGCACTTTTGAATATGAACATACCTCCTACATTGCAGACGTCAAACCTTTCGGTAACAGGATTTGGTTCAAAGGTGTCGAGCAGGAAGTCAAATAGTCCGTAGCCCAGCATACTTTGTCGTCAGTCTGATCTGCCGTATCTGTCCATTATTATAACGACGATGAGTAGACATCGTGACTATAACGGGGCAGCCCGTTACATGAAATTGTCACTTTGAGGAAAGTGACAATAAAGAATATAAAGATGGATATTCTTTAAACAATATCACCAAAGTGGTGATATTGAAGGGTCGACCAAAGAGTCTGTTCATTGGTTGATATCGTGATGATATCAACCCACCAATCGTCGCAAGACGCGCGCAATGAGTGGTGACGAGACGTCACCATACATCCAGTTATATTAGTATAGTTAAACTAAGTCAAACGAAGAGACAGTAGTTTAAAGATTTAATTATATTAATATAACAGTTCTACTTTTACCCTACCTACGCTTCCTCGCTTGCCACGTGTACGTCCGTTGGGGCATCCAAAACCCTTGCGTTAAGTTACGCAAGGGTGTGCCCCGTAACACCTGGTAGCACTTTGTAGTCCTTCTAAGGACCACATCATCCAACATGAACATGTTCGATGAAGAAGACACCTTTCACGCCACGTGTGAAGGGTTTACCCATTTGAGTGATATCGAATGGGGTGCGGTAGAACGAATGAGTTCTACCGTAGGCGAACTCGTCGTTAGCACCATGTTGGAGTCTCTAGACAGAGACCAACAACATGCCGCTATTGCCAAGTTCATTCAGAATGAACTTGCTCTCGAGAGGGAGAAAGTAGCCTTGCTTCACCAGCAAGGCTCTCAACAGGCCGAGCAGTTGAGAGAACTCGGTGCTCAACAGACGGAGCTGTTGCGACAGCAGCAATTCCATGCTGCTGTGGGCGGGACGGCGCATGCGCGTCGTCCCGAAGTCATGAAAGTTGACATCTCCAAGTACAGAGGAGTCGAGATAGACTCCCTGTTACTATGGTTTGTCGAAATCGACAGAGCCCTAAGGGCTCGTCGCGTCGAAGATGAGCAAATGAAACTCACATTTGCTCAGACCCACTTGGCAGGGCGTGCCAAAACTTGGTCTTTGGGACTCGAGAGTAGCGACCCAAACGTGTTTAGGTCGCTAGATGACTTCAAGTCCCGGCTCAGAAAAACGTTTGAGCCGCCACGTGCTGAGTTCAGGGCTCGTTCAGAGCTCCTGAAACTCAAGCAGGGTAAGCGTGATGTGCACGCTTACGCACAACATATACGACTCCTTGCGAGTAGTAT